AGTTCTCGCTGATTATTAAACCAACCAATTAGACCGTTGGAATCAAACTTGGAGATGATAACTTTCTAGCATGGAAGCAAAAGGTGAAGTTGGGAGTTAGGCTCATAGGACTTCTCAATGGATCATTGAAATGTCCGTCAATGGCGATTGTGGATCCAAACGGTACTCAAATGCCCAACAGTCGATTATAGGCAGCGCCAAGAACAACTGGTTTCGTGATGCTTGAAGGCAAATCAGAGGGCTAGTTACCTGATGGGTAGGCTGTTCTTCATTTAAGCTCTGGTCAAAACTATTGAGTATTTTTATTTCTCAAATCCCAGCCACAGTTTCTCAATATAAGCAAGAGAACAACCAATGAAGAAAATACCCTTCCTATACATAGTTACCTTACAAAGTTGAACTCTGACACTTGGGCTTACGAAACCCCTTACCTGATGAAGACCAGATAACAAATATTACAAATTGACTAGTTGCAGCGTATGAATCCATCATTGTTACTATCATAGCTAGGGTGGAACTTTACACCCTTACACAGTAGCTTAGGTTACTTCTTAGTGGTTAATGAAGAATGTGTTATTTGCAAGTGGAGTCCCAAAATTTGAAATTCTACTTTGACATTTGGTCGATCAAATATGCAGCTGTAAAAACAGCCTCACCCCTAAGAAATTTAGAGCACCCCTAGTCTGCCTGCTATCCCATTCTTCGTTGGGCTATCGAAACATGTAGATATGAAAAACACCCTTTTCCTTAATAGGGAGGGATAATGATCATGATGATGCTTTGATAAGTGACAAATTTGATATTGAAATAACCGGGTTATGTGAATTTTTCAATAGTTTCAAGGAAAATTGGGATGACCTAACCTATAGTGCCATGACATTATGTGACTCTCAACTGGGTTATAAACGCAACTACTGCCCACACCTTGAGTTTCCGACTTTTGAAGAAGTTGTCATCAAAATAATAGTATGTCAACTATCTTAGCATTGCCAATCGTCTTTCAATGAATGTAAAACCTAAAATTCACAGGTGAATTAAAAAAATTGACAACACAACTAGAGTCACTGGTGAATTTACCAATTGACAAAAGATTTCTTGAAAGATTAGGACACGAATGACTGATTTTAAAACTAGGTTTTATGAGATGACAATTGAACCATTTCTTGCAACTGTAGACAGATTACCATCACGGTATCACCAATTCGAATCTATAAATGATTAGAATAAGGATGATACATGTTAAATAAATGCAAGAAACTAGTAATGTGATGCGACGCACCAGAATCAATGAGCTAAGGTGCTGGATAGAATGCTCTAGTGTAGGCACTTAATGGGCTACCATTTTGGACACGGGCAAGAAAACTAGAGAGAACACTTGGAGCCTGACTTTGGTTCAGCAGCTAAAGTTGCTCCTTACATAAAATTTTTCTTAGCCACGATCCTTACATAAAATGATAAACTTTAAGACACAAATGCACACATGGTATAAATTTGTTATACCGTGTATTGGGGAAAAAAAATACTACAAAATGTCGTAGCGTATTAATATGACATAAATTATGTCATTGAGGACAAACATCTAATCAAGCAAAATGATCTTACCAAACTTAGCTTCATTTTTAAGTGCATGATCAAAGCAAATTCTTTGAAGATCCCTACACTCACAGCCAGAGAAGGATTAAACTTCTATTCTATAATACATTCATATGTTGACTTGTTCTGGGGTTCAATTGGTTGAGATATTAAAGACAAAGAAAAAGGGCATTAGACTTCCGGCAGATATACGAATAATGAATGTAACAAATGAGAGTAGCAAAGAATAGAAATTATATATTTGAAAAAACAAGGCTTTTAACCATATACTTGGAGGAGCCTAATTGCGTGATCTTACACATAAGGCAACTCGTGACACTATTACCATCCTCATCTTTATAAATCATTTGTAATTTACCAAATTGAGGCTAAATCTTTAACCTATGCAATCTGAACACTTCATAGAAGATACACAAATCAATCAAATACAACTTGAACTTTCAGCATTAATCAAAACTAAAACAGCATAGTCTAGTTATAAAAGAAAAATATATAATGCAATAATAACTAGGAAAAAAAAGAACAATCAATTTTTTTTCTTAGAATGATAAATTTTAACATAAAATAAAATAAAATATCAAACACCATTCACTAATTTAAAATATTAGAATTATTCGAATTATTAAACAGTTTGTCCATGTCAAAATTTTGCAAATAATATAATCATAAAATTAAGCCACAATTCCAATTTTCCCTACTTTGACCAATGTATTACATTTTTTCATTAAAAAAAAAGGTCAAAACTCACCATGCTAACTTCATTTTGGGCGAAGCCTCTTCTGCTTCAATTTATCTACTTAATGGATTGTCTACTCTTTCTCTCAAGGGAGAGATCCCATTAGAAGGACTATCCAATTAAACCTGGTATAACAGCCTCAGAGTGTATCAGTGTACATATTTTCCGTGCCCCAGACCATGCAACTATCACAAAATGGAGTATGCATCTTAGACTTGTACCTACTTAGCCCGTCTAGTATCGATTTTATTAGATTTTGATGGAAACCAATATGCATGTTAA